ATGGCCGCACTCTAGTTAGTTGTACTGGTGGCGCCATCTACTGGCGAGTTGTCAAAACAAGGAACATATCAAAGTAGTATTCTATTATTATCTACTCCCTGTTTGTGAATCCGTACATAGATGGCGAGACCAGTTTGGTTTCGCTATGTTGTGTCCACATTTTAGATAAAGAATGACTCGAAGAATAAATTTTTTTAGACTATGAAATCGACAAACAATGGACTTTTGAAAAAATTTCAAAAAAAAAATTGTTTTTATTGCGTGGGTCGATAGAGCTCCCTACGTACTTCATTTTAGGTCCTGCCCCGTTGCTCTATCTCTACCGTTTCCGAGATATTCGCGTTTGAAGTTTTTAAACTTGAATAGTGTCTAAACTGCTTAAGACAGAGACGAAAGGGAAACAGCACCCTAATGTATCTGTCCTGCTCTACATCTGTGCTTATTTACAAAGTAATTGAATAATTAGTTACTGAGAAAAACGATGAAAACATTAAACGGTTATAGAAACGAAGCAACCGAGTCAACCCTGTAATTTGTCATGCTTTCTTTTATATGTACCCAAATTTGCATTAAAATCTGAGGGAAAAAAAAATTTGACCAAAAAATTTTGAAGGCACCCTTTCGATTTTTCGTGAAAAATTCATGGTCTCCGATTGAGCTGAAAATCGGACAGTGGATAGTATGTGCTCTAAAACGTTCAGAAAATAAGTCCGTTTTCCACTAAACTAAATCGTCGTAAAGTAGAGGCTTGTTTCTCGATAATTAGCAAACATAGAAAACTGCAGGTGAGTTTTTTTAAACGTACTGATCGTCTAATATCTGTATCCGACGTTTCGTCCAAATCAGAGCAACTTTTTTCAACTTTTGAACGGGAGCCGATATTGAGCAACAGACACCACTCCGACATTTAGTTTTACATCCTGATTCTCTCTGCCAAATTTCATTTAAATCGAAGACAAACAAATTTTATGGATAAAAAATGGCCATACTCTAGTTAATTGTACTGGTGGCGCTATCTACCGACACGTTGTCAAAACAAAAAACATATAAAACAGTTTTCTATTATTAACTAATGCTTGTTTGTCAATTCGTCCGTAGATGGCGAGACCAGTTTAAAAATGTATTTGGTTTCGCCATGTTATGTCCACATATTAGATAAAAAAAATGATTCTCAGAGTAAATTTCTTTCGAATATGAAATCTAAAATCGACGAAAAGTTGACTTTTGAAAAAATTTTGAAATTTTCGAAAAAAAAAATGGTTTTTATTGCGTGAGTCGATAGAGCTCCCTACGAACTTCAATTTAGGGCCTGTCCCGTTGTCCCCTGTCGATTTTGCTCTATCTCTTACCGTTTCCGAGATATTCGCGTTTGAAGTTTTGAACTTGAATAGGGCCTAAACTGCTCAAGATAGAGACGAAAGAGAAACAGCACCCTAAAGTATCTGTCCTGCTCTACATCTGTGCTTATTTACAAAGTAATTGAATAATTGGTTACTGAGAAAAATGAATAAAACATTAAACGGTTATAGAAACGAAGCAACCGAGTCCACCCTGTAATTTGTCATGCTTTCTTTTATATGTAACCAAATTTGCATCAAAATCTGAGGAAAAAAAAAATTTGCCCAAAAAATTTTGAAGGCTATACCCTTTCGATTTTTTTTGAAAAATTCATGGTCTCCGATTGAGCTGAAATTCGGACAGTGAACAGTATGCGCTCTAAAACGTTCAGAAAAACAGTCTGTTTCTTTCTAACATAAATGGTTAAAAAGTAGAGGCTTGTTTTGTGATAATTAGCAAACTTAGAGAACTGCAGGTGAGTTTTTTCAAACGTACTTGTCTTCTACTTACTGCATACAACGTTTCGTCCAAATCGGAGCAACTTTTTTCAACTTTTGAACGAGAGCCGATATTGAGCAAGAGACACCACTTCGACATTTAGTTTTACATGCTGATTCTCTGTACCAAATTTCAGCGAAATCGAAGACGAAAAAAATTTTATGCAAAAAATTTTGAAAGCTATACCCTTTCGTTTTTTTTTCGAAAAATTCATGGTCTCCGATTGATCTGAAAATCGGACAGTGAACAGTATGCGCTCTAAAACGTTCAGAAAAATAGTCCGTTTCTCACTAATCTAAATGGTTAAAAAGTAGAGGCTCTTTTTGTGATAATTAGCAAACTTAGAGAACTGCAGGTGAGTTTTTTCAAACGTACTTGTCTTCTACTTACTGCATACAACGTTTCGTCCAAATCGGAGCAACTTTTTACAACTTTTGAACGAAGAGAGATATTGAGCAACAGACACCACTCCGACATTTAGTTTTACATGGTGATTCTCTGTACCAAATTTCAGCGAAATCGAAGACGAAAAAAATTTTATGCAAAAATTTTTGAAGGCTATACCCTTTCGTTTTTTTTTTCGAAAAATTCATGGTCTCCGATTGAGCTGAAAATCGGACAGTGAACAGTATGCGCTCTAAAACGTTCAGAAAAATAGTCCGTTTCTCACTAATCTAAATGGTTAAAAAGTAGAGGCTTGTTTTGTGATAACTAGTAAACTTGAAGAACTGCAACTAACTTTCTTCAATCGTACTTGTCTTCTACTTACTGCATACAACGTTTCGTCCAAATCGGAGCAACTTTTTTCAACTTTTGAACGAAGAGAGATATTGAGCAACAGACACCACTCCGACATTTAGTTTTACATGCTGATTCTCTGTACCAAATTTCAGCGAAATCGAAGACGAAAAAAATTTTATGCAAAAATTTTTGAAGGCTATACCCTTTCGTTTTTTTTTCGAAAAATTCATGGTCTCCGATTGATCTGAAAATCGGACAGTGAACAGCACAAAGCACGTATCTTCTAGAGACCCCACGCCAATGTTAAACTTTTAAACCAAATTAGCGCCACCTTGTGTTTGGAGCCGGAACTAAAATGACAATTGACAGATGGCGGTAAATTCAAACTGTAATTTTTAGGAGTAGTTAGTAGTTTTAAATTAAATTTCAAATGATTTCCACATAAATTATTTTATAAAATAAAGTGTGGAACTAGTAAGTTCGAAACTTTTATTTTACAAAATAATTTAGGTCGATTATACCAAATTTGAGGAATTAATTTGTTATAAGGGGTCTGATGTGGAGAGTTGGTTCTGCATATTATTATTAAATAAAATATAAGATATATCAATAAATAATCAATAGAACATTCTTAAAATATGTTTATTAATAGCTTAAATAAATATTATAGAACAAAATAAATATAAATAATAATACATATTTAACGAATACTTACTTTGAACAAATAGGTATACAATCTTAAATCTTTAAAGTATCAATATATTGAAATGTGAAGTAGAAACTAGGATATAACATTTTATTAACACTAAAGTTGTATTTTATAAATGTCTTTTTACCTGAAGGATAAATGTTATATAGGTATTGGATTAAAAGGTGAATCCTCTCTGTATCTGTAACGTGTGGAGGGTGGGTTACCCCCACGGCTTTTATGTTTCATTAGGCCCATTTTTCATCCTCCTAAGATGATAGACACCTCCTAGTTCGTGAGCCAGGAAGGTGAATCCTTTTAACTATTAATTCACTGATAATTTTTTCCTTCCAAATACAGATGGTATACTCTCTTATGTGAGAAATTATTTCGGAATCTAGTCCAGTGATAAATTGATTACCCGTTTGTCTTTTTATGATGCATGATAAATGAATGAAGTTTTTCTGCAAGTTTTCAACGTAGCACCAAAATTATTGCAAAACACAGTAGGAAATAGAAAAGCAAAACATCACAATTTTGCAAAAACTAAGACGAAACTATAAACAGAAACCAAAAGCCAAAGTCAACAAAAAAATCACTAAAATCAGACGGGAAAATGAGACTAACCAAAAACTTAAATAAATACACGTCACATCTTTGGATTTTGGATTCTTTGGTTAAGTTTTTCGCCCATAAAAAACTAAAAATGGAGTATGAAATAATAATTTCGCCAGTAGCCCCATCTAGAGTTTGGAGCAAATAGCATAAAAAATGTCAGTTGTCGGTTTTGACCTTGGTCATTCACGTGGAACCTCTATGTGCTTTGTGGTGAATAGTATGCGCTCTAAAACGTCCAGAAAAACAGTCCGTTTCTCACTAACATAAATGGTTAAAAAGTAGAGGCTTGTTTTGTGATAATTAGTAAACTTAGAGAACTGCAGGTGAGTTTTTTCAAACGTACTTGTCTTCTACTTACTGCACACAACGTTTCGTCCAAATCGGAGCAACTTTTTTCAACTTTTGAACGAAGAGAGATATTGAGCAACAGACACCACTCCGACATTTAGTTTTACATCCTTATTCTCTGTACCAAATTTCAGCGAAATCGAAGACGAAAAAAATTTTATGCAAAAATTTTTGAAGGCTATACCCTTTCGTTTTTTTTTCGAAAAATTCATGGTCTCCGATTGAGCTGAAAATCGGACAGTGAATAGTATGCGCTCTAAAACGTCCAGAAAAACAGTCCGTTTCTCACTAACATAAATGGTTAAAAAGTAGAGGCTTGTTTTGTGATAATTAGTAAATTTAGAGAACTGCAGGTGAGTTTTTTCAAACGTACTTGTCTTCTACTTACTGCATACAACGTTTCGTTCAAATCGGAGCAACTTTTTTCAACTTTTGTACAAGGAGAGATATTGAGTAACAGACAGCACTCCGACATTTAGTTTTACCAATGTTTAAAGATTTTAAATAATGGTTTTACATATTGATCAGTGATATGGAAGACAAAAAAATTTTATGGATAAAAAATGGCTGCATTCTAGTTAATTATACTTGTGGCGCCATCTACTGGCGAGTAGTCAAAACAAGGAACATCTCAAAATAGTATTCCATTATTAACTACTTCCTGTTTGTGAACTCGTTCATAGATGGCGCGACAAGTTAAAAATATATTGGTTTCGCCATGTTGTGTCCACAAGAGGGTAAATTCTCTCTTTCTCAATAAAACTAGTGATAATATTAAAATTCGCTTTATTTTTTTACACTTAATTATTTCCTTTAGTACATTGAACAAGATGTAATATTTATAATACAACAAATTAGTATGTCGATACGAAAGAGTTTCTACAAATTCCAAATGTTGCTAGCCATAGCAATTTGGTAACAAAAAGAGTAACTTATGTAACCTTAACCAACATTTACATCAATTTTAAAATGTTATTTACATTGTTTTACAACAAGGAAATCATTACATAACTAATATAGCACCATGTTATTCAATTTTTTTTTATTTCAGGAAAATAAAATGGTAGATTAATTATATTACATAGGTAGGTGTTAAAATTAAATTAATGAGTTAATAGGAGCAAAACAAGGCTTCCCTTGTAACAAACGTTTTTTTTTTAAATTTATGGCATGCTTTTCAAAACGATTAAATTGGTAACGGCCAATTGGTAACGGCTTGGTAATGGTAACAACAGATCTTCATGGTATACAGAAACAATAAAACATTTGACAATTATTTAAAACGTCTTGTGTTTGTATAAATATAAATATGTTGAACTATACATGACGTCCTGAAAAATTCCTATTAACCCTTTCAGACCTGGGGGTCGATTCTCGACTCGTAAGAATTTTTTCCTATAGGAATTTTTGACATTTTTCTATACATCGAAAATTTATGACATTTTCCTACATATAGGAAAGTGTCACAAATTCCTATAGGAAAAGGTTCCTACAAGACACAAGTCGAGAATCGACCCCCTGGTGTCCATTGTAACGTACAATAACTGTATGCAACCGTAACTACTAGTAGATGAATTAAAAGTTGCCTATATCATTATGTCGATGGTTAAGTGCACAAATATTATGTCCATTTTCTTCGAAAATGGGATAGGTAGGATTTTATATTCTTCATGATGAAATCTTTATAGTTTCCAAATACAGTACGTCCACTTAAATAGGTTTACCATTCAGTTAAGTAATGCTAATAATAATTATACAGCTTGTCATAATTACCTATAACTTTCAAGTCGATTTGTGCTCTTAACCATCGATGTATACAATCTTGGTTTATTTGAAGTCGAAACTGATTATTCAGTTGGTCATTAGGTGTCGAATTTAACGTATTGTCAAAGAATACATAACCCAAGAAGTGAAACTGAATTAGTTTTCGTATGTACCAAAGCCAGGGAACTTAATACACTGGGAAATGTATGAAAATTAATAAATGTTTGTCGTTTAGTTCATTCATTATGTCAAATAGATTATTTTAATAACGAAATAAGTACTGTAGATACAATAATAACAGTCACTACATAATAGCGAAAGCAGATGACCTGATCATTCTGCAAATAGGCAATTTTAAGAACAATTATGGAACAGTGTTGCAAGGACTATTCACGGTCTATCAATCCCAAGAAGACAGAAATGGCCCTTTTTACAAGGCAAAGGATAACAATTGAATTAAAGCTCCTAAACACAAAAGAAAACTTTGCAATATAGGTGTAGTACCTAGGTAGCACCTTTGACAGCAAATTAACATTTAGAAAACAGAAACAAAAGATCATACATTGCTTATGAACAATACCGCCGAACAGTGGGGCTCACCTTACGTTTCTTCCCCAGAGTTGTCTCATGGACCTATGATAACATACGGTGCAGGTGTCTGGATACGGAAAATCTAAAAATTGACAGCTATTCGCAAAATAGCAGGGTTATGACAGACAAGCAATGTTATTTTTAATAGACACGTTATTTGTGTAGTATAAGCTGTTACTTAGTGTAGGCAACCAACAATACCAAATGTATTACTGGTTGCTAACACGACAAAAACATAGGTCAGGGCTGGAACTCTGTGTCATGTAGAATTCTACTTATCGCTTTCTACAATCGATTACTTTCTTTTGTGATGAATACGTTATCAACCGCACGGGAAATATCGCAATGTGGTTTCTTATGAAACTAGTTATCCTGTAAGTAAGTATATAGGTACTCGTTGGTTTTCCGCTATGTTACACAGAGTGCCACAAAAGAATCTATTGTAGAAAAATGACACAGAGTACCAGCACAGGTTGCACATTGAGCACATGTTAAGAGAATGTTGTCCTAAGTGAGCTTAATCAAAAGTTAATAAATAAACATATAAAAAGTATATTACAACTATTATTACAATTTGTGAACTTGTTATTTCTGTGTGTTTATAAAATAACAGACCTGTTAAAAATAACATACGTTGTCAATCATAACTCTCTAGAACAAATTCAAATAACAGTATGTCTCAATATAACAGTAACCACAAAACCACACTAACCAGACCCTTGGAAGTCGTTTTTAGTCTCACTCCCCTTGATATTTACAATGACACGCCTCTACACGATTGAAATAGAACCGATGTACATGATCTGGCGAGGCGAGACGCAACAAAATAATGCTCAAGAAGTGAAATATACTCCAATTCCTTAAACCTCAACACAAAATAGTGCCAATGTAATTCAAACCGAGCTCACGAAGGTTCTCATAGCAGCAAAAGATATTACCATAAACAATATCATTGGTAGGAACATGCTCATCTATACAGATAGTAGATAAACACTATAATAATATACTTAGGACTAGTACTAGAATGTCACGAAGCTTTGGCAAGAGTATCCATCCAATAATGTGGTCACCTTAAGATGGTGACGCCACATTTAAAGATAGCTTTCTTGCTGATATATTAGCCAAGAAGATACTTTTCGGACCTGGCCCTTCTATTGGACTGTCAATATCGGTAGTGATAGACCTAATTAAAAGAATATTTTCATGTGAAATTTAAGGAAAGATAGGACGAAACAAAAAACTGCAGAGTTACCAGGGTGCTTTTAAGTTATCCTGACTGCACTACACCAAATAAATACTTGAATATGACTTACTGAATTTTATCATAGGCATTCTAACTGGTCATTGCAAAGTACGGAAGCATCTCCATATCATGGGGCTGTCAGAATCTGCAGCACCCTGCAGGGGGTGCGAACAAAAAGATGAAACCATTGAACATATCCTCTACGATTCCCCGTCGCCCTCATTTATTAGAAGATTTGTTTTCGGCGACTATTGGCTATCACCGGCCGATATAAGAGAAGCATCTCTTGGTGACTTCAACTACAATAAATCTGTGGTTGGCTCAAGAGCTAGGAGGTGCCTATCATCTTAAGAGAATACAAAATGGGCCTTCAACTCGAAAAAGAAACATTTCTAAGTGTTGATGAGCAGATGCTGCCGTTTAGTGGAAGGTTAGATTTCAAACAATACGTCCAAGGGGGATTAAACTTTTCGTTTTGTGTGGGGCAAGTGGAATGCTGTATGATTTTCTTATGTATTAAGGATCAACGACAGAAATACCAAAATATTTGATGGATAAATATTTATTTTGCCAGTTATTTACTGTTTGAAGACATTTATATTCCATTGGTACTGTACGTCTAGACAGATCTCAACGACCACCGTTTACCGCAGATGAAGAATTCAGTAAAAAGGTCAGAGGGTATAGTGAAGAAGTAGGATCAGTAGTGCTGGTAAAATGGCAAGACAACAAAGCAGTCACGGTCAGATCAAACTATGAGGGAAAAGGTACTATACGGTAAAGAGGTGGGACAAGGCCAAAAAAGCATTTATAAACGTTCAGAGATCAGAGGCCGTCGCATTATATAATAAATCTATGTGTGGCGTAGACTTGTTGGATCAGCTTATATCTTTATAAAATCCAAGAAATGGACACTGCGAATGATTTTTCACGCATTTGATCAGGCTTGCGTGAATAGTTGGCTTGAATATAAAGCCTGTATGCAAGCACAGAAGGCCCCTCGTAAAGAAATTTTGGATTTACTTAATTTCAAAATGAAAATTGGTGAAGCCTTAGTGCTTATGGGTAAACCAGTAATTAAAAGAGGACCTGGTCGTCCACGTAGAGAGAATTCTTCATGGGATAGTACACCCAGAAAAGGAACTGCAGATTTTCGGAAATTCGGAAAGATTTGGTCCATCACCATAGAATTCGTGCCATTGATGACAATTGGACTAGGAATAACTGTTCAAAATATACAGGAATTTTAGGACGTCATGTATACCTGAATATATTTTTATATTATTATTAATTCCACTTTTTTTATTCACATTTATAATATTTATGGAAAAAGTTTCGTTCATTTAAAAAATTTCAATGAGAATCAAAAGATTAACCAATTATTAAAATTGTAAAAATAACATTTTTCAGTTCATTCTTTTTAATAAATATTGGCGTTTGTTACAAGAAAAGCCTTCGCACTGGATTAAAAAATTTGAGCGCTTTACGACGTAATAATATCGAACTAAAAACTACGAACAAATTCAAATTCTCTTTCACTAGGTTTTTGCATAACGAAAAAGAAAATAAATTATTTTCTTAAGCTGTTTATGACGGTGCAACCAGACTGTCTCTGAGGATGGTTATTCAATATTTACCAATTTTTAATTAACCACATCGGCTATTTATAATAGACCAGTCGAATTGAGAATTATTTAGACAGGAAAAATTATTGACTGGACTATTAATAACTTAAAAGTTAAAAAGGATAATTTTAAAAACATTTTTGAAATAACATAAATAATAAAAAAAAAGATGGACTTTCGGAAAATAAAGGTAAATATTGAAAAGGTTAAATAACTTTGGAAAAGTGTTTTTTTTATTAAGTGTTTAATAGTTTCTAGTTTAAAAAAGAAATAATATTTGTACAACATAGCAAAATTAATGTCATATTTATATTTCAATTATTTATAAACTTATAGCGCTAGAGAATCAGTCCAGTGGCACTTGCATAATAATTTTTCAATATTCAAATGAGGTTAAAATGAATGGAAAATTACCCGTGCATCTACAAATGCTACAATGAATACGGAAAAATTTACAAACGGTTCATCTCGGACACAATTTAACCAGTAAAAATATGTGAGAGAACAAAATATTATAATATGGAATGTTAATGGCACTTTTGCAGTGGCGTATCTTATTTGCTTACGTACAAGAAAAAGTTCCCCCCCTTTTTTAAAGGAATTATTATGTCCCGACTAACCAGTTACTTATTTATTAATGTGCCAAATTTTAACTTAAAATACTGTTAACGATTTTAGCTGAGAAGCTATTCGAAAATAAAAGAGTACAAAAAAGAGTGACAGTTCTAGATGAGATCAAAATTAACATTTAATACACCAGATTTAATTAATCGATTATTTTAGATTAATCGATTATTCTTATTGATTATTCGATTTTTTATTTAATCGATTATTTACAAATAATTTTTCAAATTATGGAAAATATTCTATTATTTATTTTGATAATCACCCTGCCCTCATAACTAACTTTTACCCTTTATTTTAAATATTAATGTTTTAAAAGAATAAGTGTCACTTTTTTTAAATCTCGACCTTCAAATTGTTAAATATCAATGTGTTTCGGTATATTATAAATTATGAACGCCATTTTGCGGCTCTTTAAACAGTAAAAACATTATTAATATAGATATGAAAGAAATAATAAATATCTATTTTTTTTTAATTGTCGATACGCCACTGACCCTTAGTACTTTAAGTACGCAAAACACGTACGAAATCACAGTCTCTGCACGAGTTATTTTTTGGAGACTTTAAACCATCCTGCAGATTTATCTGGATTTCTCGGCATAGAAACCGATCTGGATATCTCCCTTGGATCTCTGTTTCTCCTGTCTTGACCTCCTAGAGATTCCGTCGAAAGGCTTTTAGAAGCCAATTTCTTTTCTTCCCTGTCTCTATTATATCTGGAGTTTTCTTTCGGAAGTCGTTCCTTTTTCTTATACAGGGTCGAGTTAGAACCTGAAACAGTTTAAATTATTTAGTATTTAGTACTCAGTATTTAGTATTTATTTAGTATTCAATATATTTTTAATATATTCTTTAATATTTTTCAATAGTCTTTCGTATTCTTCAGTATTCTTCAGTATTCTTCAGTATTCTTCAGTATTCTTCAGTATTCTTCAGTATTCTTCAGTATTCTTCAGTATTCTTCAGTATTCTTCAGTATTCTTCAGTATTCTTCAGTATTCTTCAGTATTCTTCAGTATTCTTCAGTATTCTTCAGTATTCTTCAGTATTCTTCAGTATTCTTCAGTATTCTTCAGTATTCTTCAGTATTCTTCAGTATTCTTCAGTATTCTTCAGCAGTGGTGGCTCGTGGGGTGGTTCACAGTGACAGAATATAGGTATCAGTATAAATGTATGAAAAAACTTTCAGTGTTTTACCTATATCTATACCGGGATCTTCAGTATTCTTCAGATTTCTTCAACATCCTTCAGCATCTTTCAGTATTCTTCTATATTCTTCAATTTTCTACAATGTTCTTCAATATTCTACAATATTCTTTAATATTATTCAATATTTTCCAGTATTCTTCAGTATCCTTCAGGTTTCTTCAGCATCCTTCATCATCTTTCAGTATTCTTTAATATTCTTCAATATTTTTCAATATTGTTCAATATTCTTCAATATTCTTCAATATTCTTCAATATTCTTCAATATTCTTCAATATTCTTCAATATTCTTCAATATTCTTCAATATTCTTCAATATTCTTCAATATTTTTCAATATTCTTCAATATTCTTCAATACTCTTACATATTCTTTAATATTCTTCAATATTCTTCAATATTCTTCAATATTCTTCAATATTCTTCAATATTCTTCAATATTCTTCAATATTCTTCAATATTCTTCAATATTCTTCAATATTCTTCAATATTCTTCAATATTCTTCAATATTCTTCAATATTCTTCAATATTCTTCAATATTCTTCAATATTCTTCAATATTCTTCAATATTCTTCAATATTCTTCAATATTCTTCAATATTCTTCAATATTCTTCAATATTCTTCAATATTCTTCAATATTCTTCAATATTCTTCAATATTCTTCAATATTCTTCAATATTCTTCAATATTCTTCAATATTTTTCAATATTTTTCAATATTCTTCAATATTCTTCAATATTCTTCAATATTCTTCAATATTCTTCAATATTCTTCAATATTCTTCAATATTCTTCAATATTCTTCAATATTCTTCAATATTCTTCAATATTCTTCAATATTCTTCAATATTCTTCAATATTCTTCAATATTCTTCAATATTCTTCAATATTCTTCAATATTCTTCAATATTCTTCAATATTCTTCAATATTCTTCAATATTCTTCAATATTCTTCAATATTCTTCAATATTCTTCAATATTCTTCAATATTCTTCAATATTCTTCAATATTCTTCAATATTCTTCAATATTCTTCAATATTCTTCAATATTCTTCAATATTCTTCAATATTCTTCAATATTCTTCAATATTCTTCAATATTCTTCAATATTCTTCAATATTCTTCAATATTCTTCAATATTCTTCAATATTCTTCAATATTCTTCAATATTCTTCAATATTCTTCAATATTCTTCAATATTCTTCAATATTCTTTAATATTCTACAGTATTTTAGTATTTATTATTTAGTATTTAATTAATCTAATATAAAATGATTCGTTACAAACCTTTGGAAAGTTCATCTTTGGATCTCCCTAAAGTTTGCGAGGCCAGGTTTTCTCTAGATTTGGATAACTTCAGTAAAGTCGAACCGTTCTGGTTTTTTCGCGATTCCTGCGCCTTTTTCTTCAGCGTCGAAGAACTCTCCTTTCGACTCGACGAACTCTTGTAGGCCTTTTGCTCGAATTTTCCGTTTTTACCATTTCTAGGTTGCTGTGTATAGTCTATATCCAAGGCTTCGCGAGAGTGACGCGGCTTCCATGGAGCCAGGACGGAAAATGAACGGCTCAAGGTTTTTACTTGCTGAACTCTCGATCCATTCGATGCGAGGTCCTCTCTGGACGCTGCTCTCCGACCAGATTTGATGTATCCAGGTCCAGGAATGTCGCCAACTAAAACAAAATATGATAGGCGTTGTTTAATTCAAATATCAACCAAGTACAGTTGCTACAAAATCTAATAAAAATCAAATTGAGCTTATTTGATGTATATTTGAAATGGCGTGTCTATTCACCACAAAAGCGGAAGCGATTCCAGGGGGGCGTCGCCCTAAACATGGCCCAGGCAATGAATTTTATCAGACAATTTTAAAATACTCTATTTCTTTGGACATCTGGCACAACCAACCAACCTGTGGCAGAAAATGATGACAGATTATGTAAAATAATCAAAAAGTTAATTTAAATGGAAAGACGAAAATAAAAATAAATTATTCACAAATACCTGTGGCTGCATGTAGATAAACAATACTCCTTTGAGACTGCTGACTACTATCTCCTTCAGTCGAGCTTTCCACGGAACTAACTTCGTTTTTCCTCCGTCTACTCCTATCTTTTTCGTGCCGAGAAGTTTCCCTGCTGGGCGTTCGACGATTGGGCGACATGGGTGGCTTCAAGTTAGTTCTCGAGCCCTTGTTTTCTTTTTCCGATTCGGAAACGTTGGTCATCGATTTGTAGCAACTTCTAGGCGATTTGAAATCTTCGGAGATATTGTGGAGCTCTCTGGTCGATTGGCTTTTCGATTTTAAATGCGTACGCGTTTTGTTAGAGGTTTTGTGGCGTAAACTGTCGTTCGATTCTTGATCGGTGTCTCCGAAGAATCGGAGATTTTTCGTGGGTTTCGTGATTGGTTCTTCTTCGGTGCCGCTCGTAAAACTTCCTTCTTTTTCGCCCTGAGAAAAATATTTATAAATAATAATATTTTTTGCGTAGAAACCTTAAATAGATTCTGAGGACGTCTATTTTACATTTCATTTAATCATATTAGAAAATAAAATTATGACCCAAATTAATCAATTAAATCCATCAATTGAACAAACCTATAGAGAAAAACGTTTAGATAAAATAATTAAATGAATATCTGGAAATTTAGATCAAAACGACGCCGAAAAATATGACAAAGCCACAGAGCTGGGAGTATCTTAGAAAAAAGATTCTTTTCAGTATCTAAGATACAAGATAGTATCTTGTATCTAGATACTTTTTCATGTGATGCAAAAGTATCTAAATTTACAGATACTTTTTAAAAGAATCTGTATCTTGTATCTATTTCTAAGTATCTAAGATACTTTAAAAGTATCTAAGATACCTTATAAGTATCTTAGATACTAAAAAGTATCATATATACTAAAAAGTATCTTAGATACTAAAAAGTATCTTAGATACTGTTAGAAATGTTTTTCAAAAACCATTTTAGATATTTCTAAAAGTATCTAGGATACCTTTTAGAAAGTACTTTTTAGTATCTAAGATACTTTGTAAATATCTTAAATACTAAAAAGTTTAGATAAAATAATTAAATGAATATCTGAAAATTTAGATCAAAACGACGCCGAAAAATATGACAAAGCCACAGAGCTGGGAGTATCTTAGAAAAAAGATTCTTTTCAGTATCTAAGATACAAGATAGTATCTTGTATCTAGATACTTTTTCATGTGATGCAAAAGTATCTAAATTAAAGATACTTTTTAAAAGAATCCATATCTTGTGTCTATTTCTATCTAAGATACTTCAAAAGTATCTAAGATACAGTATAAGTTCCAAAGAAAATGTGCAACATTGGCTGTCGCAGATATTTTATAAGTACCTTAGCTACTAAAAGTATCTAAAATACCTTATAAGTATCTTAGATACTAAAAGTATCTTAGATACTTTTAGAAGTATCTTAGATACTTTTGGAAGTATCTTAGATACTTTTGGAAGTATATTTTTCAAAAACCATCTTAGATACTTCTAAAAGAAGATACTTTTTAGTATCTAAGATAATTTGTAAGTATCTTAAATGCAAAAAAGTATCTTAGATACTTTCTTCGAAAGTATAGATACTTTTTGGAAATATTTTGTATCTAAGATATTTTTAATACTTAGCATATTTTTCTAAATGTATCTTAAGATACTTTTTACAAAATTATCTGTATCTTGTATCTATTTGTAAGTATCTAAGATACTGTATAAGTTCCAAAAAAAAAAAAATGTGCAGCATTGGCTGCCACAGATATTTTATAAGTATCCTAGCTACTAAAAGTATTTAAGATACTTTATAAGTATCTTAGATACTTTTAGAAGTATCTTTTTTAAAAACCATCTTAAATACTTCTAAAACTATCTAAGATACCTTTTAGAAGATACTTTTTTGTATCTAAGATACTTTGTAAGTATCTTAAATAGTAAAAAGTATCTTAGACACTTTTTTCGAAAGTATAAATACTTTTTGGAAGTACCTTGTATCTAAGATATTTTTAATACTTAGTATCTTATTCAAAATGTATCTTAAGATATACCTTCTGTATCTGTATCTTGTATCTATGATACAAAAGTATCTAAGATCCTGTATAAGTTCTAAAGAAAATGTGCAGCATTGGCTGTCGCAGATATTTTATAAATATCTTAGCTACTAAAAGTATCTAAGATACTAAAAAGTATTTTAGATACTTGTTAGAAGTATCTTTTTCAAAAACCATCTTAGATACTTCTAAAAGTATCTAAGATACCTTTTAGAAGATACTTTTTAGTATCTAAGATATTTTGTAAGTATCTTAGATACTTTTTCGAAAGTATAGATACTTTTTGGAAGTATCTTGTATCTAAGATATTTTTAATTCTTGATATCTTTTTCTAAATGTATCTTAAGATACTTTTTACAAAAGTATTTGTATCTTGTATCTATTTTTAAGTATCTAGGATACAAAAGTATCTAAGATACTGTATAAGTTTCAAAGAAAATGTGCAACATTGGCTGTCGCAGATATTTTATAAGTATCTCAGCTACTAAAAGTATCTAAGAATCTTATATACTTTTAGAAATATCTTAGATACTAAAATGTATCTTGGATACTTTTAGAAGTATCTTATATCCAAGATATTTTTAATACTTAGCATCTTTTTCTAAATGTTATCTTAAGATACTTTTCACGAAAGTATCTGTATCTTGCATCTAGATACTTTTTTAAAGTATCTTTCCCAGCCATAAAGCCATAAAAAATCTTTCGAAAAGTCAAAATAAGATGAAAATCGTTAATTAATAAACAAATTACCTTCATTGAAAATTCTTTAGATATATTTAATAAAATGGAAGCTCACAATTAACTAAAATTAAAATCTAAAATAAACAAAATAGAACACATTTTAGAAACCGTTCAAATCCAAAATAAACTAACTTGAAAGTGTCTATATTCAAGAAGTCACAAATAAAATAACAATTTTATGTTAAAATATTTAAGATTTACTAGAAAATATTTTCCAAAAATCGTAGCAAATACAAATAGAAATATACAGGCCCCATTAAGATCTAGCAGCAACAAAAAATATAAAATAAGGTTCTGCTTTTTGTAATTTTTTTAGAAACCAATTTTTAGTAGCGAACCTAAAATTAAGATAATTTAACAACTCTTTAAAAAACGTATGCATAAATAGGTATCTTTCAAGTTTTTTAAGTTTTTGGTTTTTAATTGGCATTTTGACCTTCTCATTTTTTGATTAATATTTTATTTCCAATTAAAACAGTAAACAACGTACATTCTTGATATCAAAAACAAGTTTAATGTAGGACTGTTTTGTGGTCAGATAACAAGGATATAAAAATAAATTAGGTAGTAGTTAGCAATATAAACAAACAGCAAAATTGGTATCAGTAGGATCCTACTATCAATGTATGAATATTTGAAATAAACATATTCAGAGTGATTGATATTAGATAATATAAAAATATTTCGCACATAAATGAATAAAAAATTTAAGTGTTGATATAAATAAATATTATTAAGTTATTTTTTACTTTTTACATCAATAATAAGATAATATTATTTTAAATACATTTTTTATAATTGTTTTTTACTATTATTTATAATAATAAAATAGAAATTTCTTCTTTCATCCAAGATTATTTAAAGCAAGTTATAGAGGTAAGTGTATTTAGTTTTTACTGTTCTTAATAGCTAGTAATAACGTTTTGCTTTACCTTTTTGGACTTTTTCCTGGACAACCTGTCCAAAGACTTGAACCAACTGCCGTGGGTCGATTCAATTTTGCCATTCCGAGGAGTTTCGCGTGTTGGACTTGGACTCGGCGTGGACAAACGTCTTCTATTTTTATAATCTAGATTCTAAAACGAAATATATTTACAAATTAAAAATTATATTATGAGTTTAGTTCATTTAGGTTAAGACAAATTTGCTGATAGATGTGAGTTTCTTTCAGGTGCAATATAATATTAATTAAAAAAAAATATCTGCGAAAGAATTAGATAAATATTGTTAAGGTGATTACAGCACCCCCTTATAATTTTCGGACAAGGATATCTCAAAAAGTAATTTTTTTAGAAAATTTAAATTTGAACAAAATAAATAAGGCAATAATATCTAAAATATGCATATTTTTTAAAGTTTTAATTCCTTCCAGTTTCCGAGAAAAAAAAATCAAAGGGCTTTAAATTTTGAAATATCATAATGAAAATAAATGCATTTCTCAACAGCAGTATTCCTAATATAATCCCCAAATTTAAGCTCTTAATCTCTTGTTAATGATTTTTTAAAATTCGCAGAAATTAGTGGCTAAAACGCCTCGTTAAGTGCTTCTTTCTAGTGTAACGCGTCTGTAACTATCGTATCGTACACTCTGAGTCATCATTCGTTTCTTGCAATGATTTACACTAGTTTACACCAGTTTAAACCAGAAAATAGTACTTAACAAGGCGTTTTAGCCACTAATTTCGGCGAATTTTAAAAAATCATTAACAAAAGATTAAGAGCTTAAATTTAGGGATTATATTAAGAATAGTGCTGTTGAGGAATGCATTTATTTTCATTATGATATTTCAAAATTTAAAGTCCTTTGATTTTCTTTCTCGGAAACTGGAGGGAATTAAAATTTTAAAATATATACATATTTTAGATATTATTGCCTAATATATTTTGCCAAAATTTTAATTTTTTAAAAACATTACTTTTTGAGATATCCCTGTTTGAAAATTATAAGGGGGTGCTGTAATCACCTTAAGCTGGCTGTTGGTAAACTAAATTTCTGATATTTCAAACTTAAACGCCTTGTGACGTCAAGATTATCGCCTTCATTTACTCGAAACTTCCTGATGTTTCTTGACACGGAATGACATTTCTAGACTTTTCTCTTTTATTAGTTTTATATGTACTTTTATTTAAAACAACCGTGGCGGACTGTAAGGTGAATTTATGAAAAACCATCAATCTATTTTTGAAACTGTTTATATAATATAGCATTTATTTCGGGATTTTGTGTGACAGCTTTTCGTTGAAACATCGTATATATTATTTTATAGGTTTTATTGTATTCGATGTTTATAGACAATATTAATAATTTACTATAAATATAACTAATAAAAAAATATCGTAAATACATCAATTCTGACTTTGCATTTATGTGTTTCTGTAAGCATCAATTTTCGTCATAAAAAATAATTAATATCCCCCTGGCAAATATTTTATTGTATAAAATGGCGAGGTTAGAAAACAGTTTTAAGGAGCAGTTAAAAACAAAGTTTTTGTTAAATTCTCAAGGTTAAAAAACAAGTTTTTCACACATTCATTATGTTTCAAATAAAAGCAAAGTAACATTGTGATTTATTTCACATTTTTTATCATATAAAAAAGCTGGTATTCACTTAATAATTGGTAAAAAATATAAAAAGAAATAAAATTGAAAAAAAATTTAAAGTATAACATCCAGTTTTCGCGGAATTCTGGGCGCTAATATCTATATTTAAAAATCTGATGTGTCCAACACATGACTTTCCTATCTAGTTATTGTAGGCTTTTTCCGGTTATTTTGTACAACCTATTGCAGTATCTCTATAAATGTTTAGAAGATAAACTAAATATATACATTGTCCACATACATCTACCTCGAAAAATTTTTCTATAGATATTCATTGAAAACGAAAATACTGAAAAATTTAAATTTAGCACTTTTCCATTACGGTCCATTTTAGAAAAATCATGTATAAACAAAAATTATAGAGATCGATATCGCAAACAACTTTTAGTTCAACAATTTTCATAAAAATCAGAATTTTGCACATTTTGTCAAATTTCTCGAATACGGACCATTTCAGGAAATTTTGACATTAAACAAAAATTATAGATAATAATATTAGAAGTAACTTTTATTTGAACAATTTTCTTCTTCAAACATAAATAACAGATATATTCCATAAAATATAAAAACGGCCTCCCATAAGTTCCGACTTTGTCCAAAATCTAATCATTGCACGTCAGGCCGAAATAAACCTTAAGTTTAAAATTTAATGTTTTTTTCTTTATCCGTTTTTGAGTTTTCTTCAAAATTCGAAATTTACACATTTTCTCAAATATCCCGAATACGGTCCATTTTAGAGAAATTATATATAGAATAAAAATTATAGAGAATTATAGTAAAAACAACTTTTATTTGAACAATTTTTATAAAAAATTATTTTTTTTACATTTTGTCAAATTTCTCGAATACGGACCATTTTAGGAAAATTTTGTATAGAACAAAAATTATAGATAATTATATAAGAAGTAACTTTTATTTGAAAAATGTTCTTCTCCAAACGTAAATAACAGATATATTCCATAAAATATAAAAATGACCACCTATAAAGTACCCCCTCAGATGTTCAGATTCTGCCCAAAATCTAATCAGTTCATTAGACGCTGGAATAAAGCTTAAGTTTAAAATTTGGTGTTTTTCTGTGTATCGGTTCATGAGTTATGCGACATACAGACACACACAAAGACACACACACACACAGACAGACATCATCGCGAAAATAGTCAAAACGGATTCAGGGGACCTCAAAACGTAAAAATCCGTCGAAAACTCGAGGTCGAAAAAAATCATGATTCCTATACTTTCCTTATATCTGTATACAGATAGGAAAGTAAAAAGATATTAATAATTTCGAAGTTCCTTAACGACTTGCTCTCTTCATGTTGGCCCATTTTATATAATTAACTGGTTTCATTATTTAACGCCGGGCCAGCTAAAAATGTGACACACGTGCGAATATAATCCTGAGAATTTGCCGCAAGGACCTTGAAGGTCGTCCAGCCGGTACTACCCTGTGTAGTTGCAACAGCTAATGGCCAAAGCCGCCGAGATCACAAAAAATTCCATTCTGTGTGAGTTTGTATCGAAATTTATTGTCACTTCGATTGTATTTTCCAATCACCTCGTAGAGAAGTTAATCTAACATTCCGAAGAGAGCATGTATAGTGCCGGCGCAAATATGTTTGTTAACTCGGCATCCAATCGTCTCTATATAGTTAAATAAACCAACGAAAGTCTGTTTTATGAATGGCCACGACAGGCCCGTACTCAAACAAAAATGTTATAAGCAAACAGTAAAAATTAAATTTTTATGAGAAAAGTATTGACCAGATTGAAGCTATTGGAATTAATTATAAGAAGAAAACGTTGATAGAGATGAAGATACTAAACAAAAACAGAAAGGAATGAAAGAAATGGGCCTAGGAAGAGAATGGATCCCAACCCTCAAAAGGCAGGATATGAACAAAAAAAAAAGATTCTGTAACGAGCGAGGTTTTATAATAAGCCACTTCTTCATAACTCTTAGTAAAATCCAGGCACGAATACTGATTACAATCATGTTAAAAAGATAACCTTAATACCAACAGAGATACATTATTTAAAAAAAAAACAATAAATATAATTAAGAAGAAGAGAAGAGTGATTTTTCAACTCCAAATAATATTCTCTATGTACCTTTACTATCGTGGGATAGACTGCAAATATGCTTGTGTTCTGGACGAGGATATTCTGAACAGTGGCGTAGCCAGCCATTTTTCATATGAGGGGTTTTTGAGAACTATGGGAGGGAGTTCCATCAAGAAACCAGTCAATATTGACGCGAGGACCCTCTATGGGAGGTTCTGATTCCCAAACCCCCCCGTAGCTACGTCACTGATTCTGAATAACTGCGTTTTTGTAGTAAGCTAAAATGTTAAGTGAGTCAGTTGTATTAAAAAGTTAAATTAAGTAAGTTATTATAAAATTAACAAAAAGTTTCCTACTTGCGATTTTTTTTAGTAAATTTACATTTTTGGTTATATCTACTTATTAAAAGATTCTTTACTTTTTGTAATATTATAACAAAGGTTTTCGCTGAACTTAAAATTGCCCACAAATTAATAAAAAAAATGTTAAAATCGATGCAAAAGTTATTTTATTTTTCAAATTTGAATCAACATCCATGTTAATGCAAAATAACGCGTTTAGCTATCAACGGGTTTTTATATTTTTGTTCTTAAACATGAAACCCATCGATTCCCATTGAAAAACAAAATGCCCCCTTGAGAAAATAAGATTTGTCTTGTCTATTAATGCCTCTGCATATTCAAAATTATTTTGATTACTGCTACTTGACATAATAACACGACGTGCTGTAATCTAGTAACTTTTTGTTTCATCCATTTTAAATTTAAACAATAAAGAAAGCAAATGGGCTCATTTCCAAGACTTTACTTATATTAGAACAATTTTAAGAGATATACATTTTTTAACGTTTATAGAAAAAAATTTGTTTGTAACTCGTGCGCGAAATATCACCGTTATTCTTACAATTTCTTATTAAATAACCGACAAAATAAAATATAATTTTAGCAACATAATTTTTCAATATGTTTTGTTAATAACGAATTCTCCTTTGGTAACTTTTTTTTATGTTAACCAATATGGCCCATTAACCGACACGCCAGTCCGGCCCAAGAGGTATTCTTAACGAAGATCAAAAGTAATTCTTGGTCCTTTATAAACATAAGCTGTACAATAGAACAATAGTACAATAGAAAAAGGTTTGGACAGGCCAAAAGCCCTGTGTATTAAAGATTACATAGCCGTATCTTAAGATTATTTTCAATAAGTACCTATTTGTCAATTTTGTTTTATTTTAATTCCAAGAATTTCTTAAAGTAATCGAATTATAAGTAGATAAATACCTTCCCAACAAATTTCACCGAAAATGCGATTATAGGTTTTCCATTTAGTAAGGAGGTCCAAGTTGTGTATTCTTTACAGTTTACTAAATGTCGTTTAGTTGCAACTTGCAAGATGCAGTGTGAACTCTAA